TACCTACGCGGTACTCTGCTCAAAGCTTGGCCTCCCCCTTACGCCCACTCTTCACATTCTTGGAGAAAGAGCCTGACAGGATGAAGTCAGGGTACTTCACATGGTCGTCGAGGCCGACTGCCGTGCTTCCAGACCGCCTCCATGCACCACCATCGACAGGGATGACCTGACCATTGACGAGACTTCCTGCGTCACTGAACAAGTAGACGGTCGAATCAGCAATATCCCTGACTAGACCCCATCTACCGAGGGGAATGGCAGCCTCCGCAGCCTTCATGTCGACTGCGCTGCTCGACAGTCGCTGCATTCCTTCCGTATCCTTGATCGGGCCAGGAGCCACCACGTTGCTTGTGATGCCGTAGGGACCGTATTCAAGCGCCACCGAGGCCATGAGCGAATCGACAGCAGCTTTCGCCGCAGACACGTGGGCCTGGAGAGGCATGCCGGTGTAGTGGAACGTCGCCGACACAAACATGATCCTTCCGCCGGTCAAGCCATTCGTGCTCGGGTTGGGGTTCCTCTTGGCTGATTCGACCAGATACGGCACGGTGGCCTTGATCGTGTTGAAGGTGCCCAGGACATCAATATCCATGACTGCTTTGAAAGCGTTGGAGCTCATGCCAGAGATGGGAGCAACGAAGTTTCCCGCGGCTCCAGCACTAGGTCGCAATGAATCAGCATCGTGACTCGGCCAAAAACAGGTCCGAAGGAAACTTACATGACAAAATCAATGGCACCCAGTTCTTTGACGCAGCGATCGGCTGCATCTTGCAAGCTCTTGGGCTGCATGGGCTTTGTGAGCAAAACGTCCTCACTTGAACTGCACAGCGACTGAGGGCACGTACGTTCCTGACATCGCATGCGCCAATACCAATGACCTTTGCACCTGAACGGGCAGTCGCGATGTCCTTGGCGACAGTTTCCGTCTTCTCCACGTTCCTGCCGATAATGCAGGCGTTCGCGCCCAGCCGGACAAGAGCTCTCGTCTGAGCACTGCAAATGGTGCCTGCTCCGCCAGTGACAAACACAACGCGATCCTCTGAGAAGGTGTCAGCTAGGCAAGCTCATGCAAGTGGTGAGCGGCCACAAGGGAAGGGGCTCACTGAAGATGCCGTCCTTCCAGACGGAGCTCACGTATTCAGACTCGGGAATAGGCATTTTGGGAAGGGTGACTGTAGGTATGCAAGAGAAGGAGGGATGGAAGCGATGAATAGTTTGTCAGATCCGCGATCTTGATGTACCTATGCTACGTAGAGGAAGTGGAAATGATGAAGTGTACAAGGACCGTACTTTGAGGATAGGAATGATGCTCGTCTAATCAGTGTCACCTGGGTCGTGCTGAGAGTTTGCCCAGGATCGAACCTCGGCAAGTCATCACCACCATCGTGAGCTTGGACTAAGAGTGGGTCCAGAGTCTGGGGAACTCGCACTCGCCTAACGTGTGAGGCAGCAAGGGCATCAGCTGGGTCTTTGGAGTGATTAGGTAAGGTGGATGGCTTGCATCAGTCTGGTACGGTTGGCCTGGGAATCCTTCCCCACATGACCCCAATGCTACTGGAGCTTGGAGGCGCCTGCTTCCACAGCGCTCCGTTTCCAGCGACAGGCGCTATCCTCCGGCGGCCACCAGCGCCTGCCCAACAGCATTCGACCAGTGACCAGCCCCTCATTACCACCTGCCACGCCGCACCACGACCTAAGTCGTCAGTCATCAGGCACTGCCCCCGGCTCCAACCACCCGTAGGTACCCCAGCTACGTCGAACGACAGGCGGTCATCAGCTCTGTCCCTTTCCCTCTCACTTCCGCCCTTCAACCCCCATCGGCCCCCGACTCCTTCAGCATCACCTAACCACCTGAGCCATGGCTTCCAGAGGAGTTTCGGCCCTGAAGTTCGTGGGCACTGTCTCACTAGGTCTCCTGACGGTACGTCTTGCTTTTTCTCGCCCTGCACTCTGTTCACGCCGGGTTCCGTGAGTGGCCGGGTGGGTAGTGACGCCACCACCGCCTGTTGGACTCCCCGCACCGCACCGCACTCTCGTCCGCGACTCGGGAGGACATCTCTTTTTCGCAGTGAACGACCACTAACGCGAACACTCTCAGGGCCTCTCCTACTCTCTCTCCGCCGTCACGGTGCCCTCGATTCTCGCCCTCCCCTCCGCTTCTGACGCCGTCCGCGCCTTCGAGAATCTCGCCTCTTCCTCGACCTTGCAGCTTCGCGCTTTGACTGGCATCTCGACCGCCTCCTTCCTCCTCGCCTTCTTCCTCTCCCCACGCGCCTTCCGCCACCCCTATCTTGTCTACGCCTCCGCCTTCGCCCTGACTTCCAGCCTCGCCGAACAGATTGCCTCACGCTCTCTCGCCGCCGACTCGTCCTCCCACGAGGCCGCCCATGCCAACCTCGCCGCCCGTCGCGAGAGGCGCGCCGCCCGTAACGCCGCCCGGACGGCACGCATGGAGGCCAGCTACGAGGTCGTCGGCGACTCGCACAGCGACGGCACCGGCAGTGTCAGCGGCGCAGAGGACCTCGACGCCGAGGAGGAGGCGCTCAATGGGGAGCAGGTGCGCGGCGAGGTCGAGGCGTTTGGAAAGACGCAGCTGGTGCAGGCCGGTGTTGCGTCTGTCGGCTTCCTGATGGCCGTCGTGGGTATCTGGGGCGAGGGCGCCATTTACGTGTTCTAGAGAGTGGGGCCTGGGGTGCATGATGATGCATTCCATCATTTTTTCTCGCTTCTGGTGTTGGGTGTCGAGGATTGGCTTTGCAAAGTATGGATACGCGAAGTTATCGCTGGTTTTAAAAATGCCGTTTTTCTCTCCAAGCTGCCACCTTCATGGATATAGGTTTAGGTCTGGCCGAATTAGACCAAGTATAAAGATGAGGGGCCACAGTCCTGTGGAACTCGTGCGAAGTGCCGCTTGCGTGCTGCAGTGAGACTGTCCCTTTTTGCTCCAGATTTTTACTTCTACCTATGCTACTGTTGTGTTTATGTGGAGGAAACCCCATTTGTCTCGTCATTTTTGAATCAGATATTTCCAGTGCAATGCTGTGCTTGCATGCCAGGCTCAACCCTTGAGCCTCTCCGTCCCAGCCATGTCGTCCTGCGCATCCTTGATCAAGAAGCTGTGGCCGAGGTCAGCCTCACCCAGGCGCCAGACTAGGAGACAAGAGAGGAGGAGACAAAAGAGGAGGAGACAGAAAGAAACAGGGGGCGACGTACTTGTACCACAGCACCGTCGGCGCAATGGTGCCGAGATGCCACAGGCTGTGGGCGTCGAGGGCGCCCCAGACGGGGGCAAAGTCGAAGAGCTCGAGGCTCATGACGGTGATGACGCTGGCGACGACGAGGCCGGGCCAGACGGCCCAGGCGCGCTTCGTCTCGCGGTACTTGCTGTAGCTGTACCAGACCCAGAGGGCGTTCTGGACCATGCCGACGGCGACGTTGGCGGCCATGTTGTAGGTGTAGTCCCAGGCGACGCCCTTGAGGTAGGCGACGTGGGCGGCGTAGAGGAGGGCGCAGAGCAGGGACCAGGCGCGCAGGACGCTGCGGCGGCGGGGCGTGGCGCGGTAGAGGCGGAAGATGCGCACGACGGTGTAGTAGAGGCCGTAGAGGACGGAGGCGCCGGCGGCGAAGTAGTCGAGCTGCTCGGTGGCCGTCGAGTCGCGCGTGTGGAAGACGGCGGAGAAGACCCACGAGGCGATGCCGACCTGGGCGAGCACGACGTAAAAGGGGTGCAGCGGGTAGGCGGTCGGGATGGCGGCGCGGAGCTTGCGGAGGCCGTCGCGGTGCGCCACGAGGTTGCCGAGGGAGAAGAGGACCGAGGCCGGCTCCTGCATGCCGAGGAGGCGGTGGAAGGGCCATTTGCCGTGGAACTGAACGATGGGCAGCGAGCGGTCGACACGGCGGTTTGTGATGATGTGTTGGCAGGTGTAGTCGCATTCGGAGGAACATGTCCAGAAGAGGAGGCGGCGGTGGAGAGCTGTCAGGGACGAGGAGGTCAGCATGCTGTCCCGGCTGATGACAGACAGGGAGGAAGCAGTCATGTGTCTCTAGATGTATATCTCTAGATATATATCTCTAGATACATCTTCGTTTGTCTGTCTCGTGAGGGGGAAATGCATACGAATCGGTGTCGGGTTGGAACTCAGGCAGTTCTCCTGCTTGCAGACCTGCGATCAATGAGCTGGTGTCCCTCGGGGTTGCGGAGGAGGGCACCACACGAACCTCGACACACTCACGAAAGTCGGGGAGGCGGTCTCCCACAGAAGCGTCAACAACAACGGCAAAAAGGAGAAGCAAGGCGATGCTGCATAGCAGTGGCGAGAGCCATGCTCTCGCACTTGATCGGATCATGGCTGCAGCAGCATGGACGAAACGCAAAAGGTAGAATGGAAGCAAAGTTGCCAGTCCCGAGCGTCTGGTGGATGCAAGAAGCCGACAGCGTGCTCACTTCCTGACCCCCCTCCCCCTGCCAAGCTGTTTGCCCGTCACTGGCTGGCGGGTTTTAGGGCTGATTGGCTGCGTCTCGGAGCTGCACTGATCCCCGTCCCCCCTCCCCTCCCTCCTCCCTCCTCCCCAGATCTCGGGGGGCATGCGATGGAGCGGCCCGAATGTGAGACCCTGATCGTTCAATCGGGCGTCTTCGGGCGTCGGAAATGAGCAGCGATGAAAATGACTAGCTTCGTTCCTCCGTTGCAGTCCCGCTCGAGGCTTCGTGCACCCTTGGACCCTTGGTGCGGCCAGGTTGTGTGACTGGACTTCTGGAAGGGTCAAGACGCCATTATGGAAGCATGTGTCGAGCTTAATAATCAGACCTGTGGCTGCCGGCCGAGGGTGGGGCAATGCCCCTCCGTACCCGGGGCTTCTGTGAACAATATGCGGAGGGCATCACTTGGGACCAGATTGACATTCTCAGTGTCTGTGTTCCATCCATTAATGCCCTTCTTAAATTGAGATCGGCCGCCCCCTCAAGACTCTGCAGTCAAGTTGACGACCAAGCCGCCACCATGTTCACAGGAATCGTGGAAGACCTCGGCAGTAAGCCCCTCCCTCATATGACTCCTCATATGACTCCTCATATGACTCTCATCTCTGTGAGGACATGGTCACTCACACTCCTTGACCACAGCCGTCACCGAACTCAACACGCAAGACGCCACCGGCGGCACCTCCCTGACCATCACGCTGGCCCCCGACTCCCAGCTCCTCTCCGATGCCCACCTCGGCGACTCGATCGCCGTCAACGGCGTCTGCCTGACCGTCACCTCCTTCACGCCGACGGCCTTCACCATCGGCGTCGCCCCCGAGACGCTGCGCATCACCAACCTCGGCGCCCTGACGACGGGCTCGCGCGTCAACCTCGAGCGCGCCGTCCGCGCCGACACGCGCATGGGCGGCCACTTTGTCCAGGGCCACGTCGACACGACGGCCACCATCGCCGCCGTCACCCCCGACGGCAACGCCCTGACCTTCCGTTTCGCCCCCGCCGACCCCGCCCTGCTGCGCTACGTCGTCTACAAGGGCTTCATCGCCATTGACGGCGCCAGCCTCACCGTCACCCGCGTCAACGACGACGAGCGCTGGTGGGAGGTCATGCTCATCAGCTACACCCAGGAAAAGGTCGTCACCGCCGCCAAGAAGCCCGGCGAGACGGTCAACGTCGAGGTCGACATGATGGCCAAGTATGCCGAGAAGAGCCTCGCCGCCTACTTTGGCCAGGCTGGTGCCGCCGCCGCGGGGACGACCATCAAGGACATTGCGGCGCAGAATCAGTGAGGGAGTGGGTGTGCGTCAGCGAGCAGTAGCAAAAAAAGAAAATTGCATGAATGACATGAATTCGGGTTGGAAGCTTGAGAATATCCTAACATCATCCTGTGCGCCGTGCTACAAAAGACAATACGCCTGATGGTGGGGACGATCCCGACAAGACGCCTCACGCCTCAGACAGACATCGGTCATGCGTCCCCCCAGACCTCGGCAATCCGCTGGCTGACGGCCTTGGCAATCTTCTTCCTTCCCACCATATGGGCCAAGCCGTTGGACACCATTTCGCGCTTCCTCTTGAGACCCTGTTCGCCGGTCCCGCACGCCGCAAATGCCTTGACAAAATCGTGCGGTGTTTTCCACCGCTTCTGTATCTCGAGAGCCTTCTCGCCCGTGACCCCCCTCGTCGTCATGAGCATCTTCAGAAAGACGTCCCTCAGCGTCATCATGTCCGACTTGGAGGCCAGAGATGCAAACGCGGGGTAGCTGATGTAGTAGCCCCTTCCCGGCTCCTTCTCTCGGAGGTGCGCCAGCAGGGGAAGGTAGTTCTGCGCCGTGAGCACCTTGGTCGGAATCACCAACAGCGGCTTGCTCTCGTACAGCTTCTTCAGCAGCACCGTCATCCTGGCAAGGTATCGGATCGTGTCGTCCACCTTCTGCGTCTTCTTAAGAAAGTAGCCGTTAACCACCTGCGTCGACGCCACCGCGGACTGCACCGACTCCTCGTACTTGGAGAAGTGGTTCGAGTCCATGGCGATCTCCTCGACAATGTAGATGACGTTCTGAACCCCAGACTTGCGGAGGCGGAACTTTTGCTCATGGAACCGACCATCTTTGATGCTGCTGACAAGGTCATCGAGACGTTTGCGCTCGACGATCCAGTCGAGAACAACCTCGTCGCCTTCGGCACCGTGGGCAGTCAGGGCTGTAGCGTCGTGGGTTTTGGCGATCCACTGCGCGTCGCCGACGTCGAGGGAACGCATGATGGGCTTGACGCCCTTCTTGATGAGCTCCTCTTGCAGATAATCTCGGTCTTTCGTGGCGCGGATTTCGCGGACGTCGAGGAGGAGGTGAACCGTGAAGGATCCGGGGGCGAGCTCGATAGGGGTAAACTGGGGCAAGCTATCACCAGCGGTGACGGACCCGTTACCCACGACGCCCTCGTAAGAAGCTGGAGGGGCGATCTCTGCGGACCTGCCTGCTTCGGTGCGTGGTAGTGCTTCCGCGGCCTCTGCTGTGCTGATCGGTGCCGGTGCCCCGCCACTTTGCTGTGCTACCTGTGGCGCGTCGGCGGCGCTGGCGGCCCCAGATGGTCCCCCGCCGCCCCGTTGTGGTCTGCTGGATCCGCCGCGCAACCTCCCAGCCTTCATCCGTCAAGGCATACCTCCGCATCGGCCGGCCTCTCTCGTAGACAAACTCCTTGTCCAGCAGCGTCTTCATCGAGTTCCACGCCGTGTAGAACTTGGTGGGATCGCTCGGTGCCGTGAAAGACGAGTCGCAGTGCTCCTGCGCCTTGTCGATGAGATCGGCCTTGGTCATGCCCGACGTGGCGTCTTCACCGAGAGTAGCGAGGGCCAGAACGAGAGCGTACGCGCCGGATCGATAGGCAGGAACGTACGGTTTCGGCTTTCTCGTCTTCTTAGGCGCCGCCGAGCCCTCGCCCGCGCCCTCGCCATCGCCATCGTGCGTCTCCCTGGCGTTCCTGTTCTTCCGGGGACGCTCGGGCATCGGCAGGCCGTTCTGCTCGCAGTGCTTCTTCATGCGGTCTGTCAGCCGCGACGACATTTTCTCGCCGAAGCCCTTGAGCTGGACCAGCTGCTGGGGGTGTTCGAAGGCCAGGGGACATGCTTTCAGGGACTCGTAGGCGTGTTTGTAAGTCGTGATGCCTTTTGAGTTGCGCTCCCTGGCCGTGTCGAGCCATTCCTTGACCCAGTCCAGAAGCAGGGGGTTGGCGTATTGATCATGTTCCCCCATGGCGGTAGGTGTGGTCAATTCTCATGGCAGTGGCCAGGGCTCATGGGATCGGGGTGGAAGTGTGGCGGGGAGAGAAAGGCTAGCAAGAAAAGCAGCGGCAAAAATCAAAACGACGGGATGCGCCAAAACAAACAAGAATGGAAAGATCAGTCATCCAGTAGTGGCCCAGACGCTCCCAAGACGACAGTGAAGGCATCGCCAATGGTGACGCGACGAGGTTGTGGCGGGTGGGGACGCAAGTACGAGCTGGGGCGCGCGAACTCACGTGACCCTCGTGGTCGGCGCGGTTTCTATTCTCAGCGCAACGTTGCGTCGTATTTGCGTCACCGACTGACTTGCATCAGCCGGCAGACACGATAAAAAGGTCTTGCTGCCACCCCAGGCTAGCCTTGAAGCGGTCAAGCAGCAGGAAGCAGGGGCCACCACACGAGCTGGCCATGGCGGGGTCTCACCTGTAGCTGGTCCTGCTGGTCCTGCGGTCCTTGGTCCTGCTGGTCCATCCAGAGAGGAGGCCACCCCGGGCGAGCTCGCGCAGGCACAGCAGCCCAGTGCAGGGCTTCAGGCTACCCCTCCAACCCCTACCTTAAGGTACCTAGGTATCTAGGTACCTACCTACCATGTACCTCCCTTAGGTACGTAGGTAGGTACCTTAGGTACCTTGCCTTCCATGCTTGCCTACCACTTCTCCCACCCCACCCTCCGCCGACCTGCGTCTTGTCTTGGTGCTGGGCTTGACCGTCTCTCAGACAACTTTTCTCAGCTTGTCTCAACAATCACCAACTTCAACTCGACGTTCAATTTTTTTCTTCCTCTCTCTCTTCCCAACTCCTGACAGCCTCTAGACCCCCGATCGATTTCACACTCTCCCAGCCATGGACGCAAAGTTCCTCGCCGCTTCCCAGAAGCACCCCATCGTCGAGGGCCATACCTTCAAGTATGGCACTGCGGGGTTTCGCATGAACTCTGATCTCCTCGATGGCGTGACCTTCCGTGTCGGTCTGCTCGCCGGCCTTCGCAGCCGCAAGCTCGGTGCCACCATTGGCGTCATGGTCACGGCGAGTCACAACCCGGCCGAGGACAACGGCGTCAAGGTCGTGGACCCCCAGGGTGACATGCTGGAGCAAGACTGGGAGGCCCATGCTACGCGGCTCGTCAACAGCAAGTCCCACGAGGCCCTGCTCGAAACATACAAGGAGCTCGCCGCCAAGCTCAAGATCGACCTCTCCGCCACGGGCCGCGTTGTCTTTGGTCGTGACACCCGCCCCTCCGGCCACAAGCTTGCCATTGCTCTGGCCGACTCGCTCGATGCCACCGACGTCGGATACACCGACTACAAGATCCTCACGACGCCCCAGCTCCACTACCTCACCCGCGCCATCAACACCCAGGGCACGCCCCAGGCCTATGGCAAGGTCAGCGAGGTCGGATATCACGAGAAGTTTGCCGAGGCCTTTGTCAAGGCTCTGAGGGGCCGCAAGGTCCAGGGCCAGCTGACGGTCGACTGCTCCAACGGTGTTGGTGGTCCCAAGCTCGTCGATTTCCTGAAATACGTGCCCAAGGACATCACGGGCTTCGATGTCAAGGTTGTCAACGATGACGTCCTTCGTCCTGAGGTGCTGAACCTCGACGTGAGTGCCACCGCCTATATTCCCACCTTGGCTCCATCTCTCTCTCCCCCCCACAAGCCTGCTCCCTTCTGACAGCACCTTGGCGTATATCCAGTCCGGCGCCGACTATGTCAAGACCAAGCAGAGGGCCCCTCCCTCGCCCAAGCCCGTCCCCGGCGCCCGTTGCTGTTCGTTTGACGGTGACGCCGACCGCCTCATCTACTACTGGACCGACCCCGACACGGGCTTCTTCATGCTCGACGGCGACAGGATATCGTCCCTGGCCGCCTCCTTCATCGCCGACCTCGTCCGTTCCGCAGGCCTGACCGACCTCCGCATCGGCGTCGTCCAGACCGCCTACGCCAACGGCGCCAGCACAAACTACATCGAGAAGCACCTCCAGCTGCCTGTCGTCTGCACGCCGACCGGCGTGAAGCACCTGCACCACGCCGCGCTCAAGTTCGACGTCGGCTGCTACTTTGAAGCCAACGGCCACGGCACCGTCCTCTTCAGCAACGACGCCCGCCGCGCCTTCCGCGAGACGCAGCCCCAGTCCCCCGCCCAAAAGGACGCCCTCGAGACCCTCGCCGCCGTCAGCGATCTCGTCAACCAGACCGTCGGCGACGCCCTCACCGACATGCTCCTCATCGAGGTCATCCTCGCTCACAAGAAGTGGACCCTCAAGGACTGGGCCACGACCTACACCGACCTCCCCAACCGCCTCGTCAAGGTCGAGGTCGCCAACAAGGACGCCTTCACCACCTACGACGCCGAGCGCCGTCTCGAGACCCCCGCCGGCCTCCAGGACAAGATTGACGAGTGCGTCCGCAAGTACACGAGCGGCCGCTCCTTTGCGCGCGCCTCCGGCACCGAGAACGCCTGCCGTGTCTACGCCGAGGCGGCATCTCGCTCCGAGGCCGACGAGCTCGCCGCTCGCGTCGCCGAGTACGTCACCCAGTACGGTTCGTAGAGCGGCCGCAGCAAGAGGTGCCTGGGTGGGCAGCAGCAGGCCACCGCCACTCTCAGCATGGACGACGTGACAGACTTGATCTGGGACAGCCCGCTGTTACTCTGAGCTCTGAGCCACTTGATTTCTTTTTTTGTGCGTGAATCAAAAAGTTTTTTTTAACTCCGAGAAGCATTCATTATCCCACCCCTTTTGAGATATGGAGAGGAGCAGACCATGCGAAGCAGACCACAGACAGGGGAGCTAGCCGGATGCTTTTTTCCCCCCTTCTCGTTATGACCCCTTCACGACAAATGTCATTCGTTCCCTTGGTGACACGGAAAAATATGAAAACCTTGGATACATGACCGCCTCGAGGGACGCGTATAGACAGAAAGCAACGCAGGTGGTCATCGCGTTTCCGTCCTTTTCTCCTCTCGTGTGGGTGATTTGTGTCAACGTGGAAGGGGTACAGCGTCGTCCCAAGTTCGTCCGAACCCTCCGAATTACAGATGACCAATCTGTGGATGATCCAGCTGTCATGCTGAGAAGATGTTGAACGTAGGGGGGTGGCAGTCCGATGGACTAGACAAGGTTCACCTCGGGTCCGCGGGTCACTACTCACAACATACAAATCTCCTCACGCCAACTCATCCAGTTGAACACAACCTCATTATCAGGCCAGGTGCCGCGAGGGGCACGGCCAGCCAGCTACGTACATGTTCTGCCCTGCCCAGCTAGCCAGCATAGTATATATACAAAGACTCGCCAGGATGATGCAGCGAAAAGAAAACGCGGATAAAAGATCGACAGAGCCAATCAGCCATGCAAGAAAGCCAAATCCCATCCAAACTCCACCCACTGCTCTTGAAACAAACCCCCGCGTCGCACCGCGGTGCGGCAGATATACAAGCTGAGTAGACGTCGGTTTATGCAGGACGGGAACAGAGTACGACGTCTAAGCCTCTGAATCCCCTAAAATACAAAACTCCAGAGTGTGTTCCAATGCCGATATATGCGCTTCGCTTGTAAAATGAAAGACACACGACCGCAACCTGTCGGTTCAGATTGCGGCGCCTCATGCGTTGCTGCTCAGCGTCCTGAACCGGTCCTCAAACGACTTTACCCTCTCCTCTTCCAGAATGCGCTGGAGCTTCCTCGTCTCCCGGACCGCCGCCTCGCGTTCCTCCTGCAGGTTCAGAACCTCAATCTGGGCAGCGCTCATCCGCGCAATGACGTCCTGCATCTCCGTATCGGCCTCCGACAGCGTGCGCTCCAGCTCCGTTACTCTGGAGCGGAGCTTGTCGACCTGGACCTCGTCCTCGATGGACATCTTGGGCAGCGGTGAGCGCGGCGAACGCGAGAACATGGGCGACGCAACAGGACTGAGCATCTTGCGGGGCGATCGGCCGCCGCTACTGGCCGGAGAGGGAAGAACCCGGCGAAGCTGAATGTTGTGCGCCTCCTTGATCTCCTTGATCTGCTCCTCATGGCGCGCGATCCGGTCCTCTGACGCGCTCTGCGCCGCGGAAACCTCCTCTTCTAGCATACGGAGGCGGCCTTGCAAGCTAGCGATGCGCTCGACGTTAGCCTGGCGATCGATATCGCCACGCGCCACCGTATCAGCGAGACGCTGTCGAAGGCTGGCGTTCGCAGCCAATTGTTGTCGGACCTGAGTGGCAAGCTCTTCAACACGACGGGCCGAATCGCGAAGCTCGTCGGCGAGGACACGTTCGCTTTCAATATGCTTGGCCTCGCTCTCATGAAGACTGTCGGCCTGCGTCTTGTTGTCCGATGCCTCTTGGCGAGCCGCATCACGCTCCATGATGGCGGCCGACAGGGAGTGTTGCAGCTTCTCCAAAGCCAATTGTGTCCTCTTATCGGAAACAAGCGCCCCACCTTGTTCTTCCAGCTCGTTGATCCTATTCAAGGCCTCTTGGTACGCAGCCTGAAGGTCCTTGAACGCTGCCTCGAGCGACTCAGACGTCACGGGGTACGCGTCCGAGTTGCTGCCGCTACTGGAGCGCGCCATCGAGGGCGGGATCAAGATGTCCTTCTCGTCCAAGAGAGCGCGAAGCGAGGCAATCTCCCCTTCGGCTCGGTCTAGGTCCATCTTAAGACTGACCAAACCCTTCTCCACTTGAAACTTGTCGTTCACGGCATCCTCTGCGCGGCGCCGCAGCACCTTGATCTCGTTTTGCAGATCAGAGACGTCTTTGGCGAAGCCGCCTCGCCTGGGCGAGTCCGAGAGAAGACGTTGGCGTTCCGTCTCGAGGACCCTGATCTTTTTCTCGTTCTCGCGGTTCTGGAATTCCTGACGGTCGAGAAGATTCTTGAGCGCGCTGTGAAGGGCGTCCCTTTGCGCCTCCACGTCCTTCAGCCGTTCTGACAGGGCCTCGCGGGACTCAATACCACCCTTGACAGTATTGGATCGCGTCAGGCCGGTC